CTATATCATATTCTTTTGGTGGAATTGTCGATGAATCAAACGTATATCTGCTATAACAATCGACTACTATACTTTATTTTTCGAATTAAGCATTGTTTTAGTGACTATCAGTAAATCAGTAATATAAAAGGTATTAACCCAATTTCGTTTGGGAAAGCAAGGCTATGCGACTCATACCATTGTGGGAAAATTCTTCTTCTACTATTCCTTCATCACCTTAAACGAAATTGGGTGAATACATCTAAGTATTCTAACCTAGTAACGAGACCTTGATTAACTTCCATCAATGAGCATAATTAGTCAGTGAATCAATTACAAGAATTTAATTTCTGTATCTTTGACTAGACATCGACTCGAACGTTATAAGCGTCCAAAGTGTCGTCCTCTAGAGGAGTTGCACTAGTCGTTATACTTTACAATCCTTATAATCTATGCTTAAGTAAGAGTTTGGATGGCCAGGTTCCCAGTTTAGAGGCAGTTTTGCATCTCTCGATTAAGTCGGTTTCACCTTTTAACCAAAATTTGGTCACGTCCGCTTGGTTTGCTTTAATGAATTGTAGCTTGGTGCTAAGCTTGGCTCTCTTTATAGGCGATGTCGACTGCGAAGTCTGTCGGATGCTAAAAAGCACTCAATCACTCAATCACTGTGGCCTAGGCTCCTCAAAGTCTCCAACCAGAAATGACCAGACGACGCCAGTATGGCAGTATAGCTAAATCAATGACTTAAATGCATACCCGCTTGTATTGTCTTGAAGACCATATGGGACATTTTGGAACTAAGACCACATACAGTTTGTTGCAATGCGGTGTTATAACCATTGGCCAGGTTTTGAATGCCACAAGGGATTCCTGACCTGCCAGGTCAGGAAGCACAGAAAAATAAGTTATGGCAATTTGGGGTGGAGCTAAACAAAGCCTTGACTACATTCATCTTGGGTAGATCTATCGGAAGATTCTGGAATGCTAGAGGGATTCAAGTGTTTAGTAAGTGTCCGAACCACTGCAAATTCTCTCGAAAGCGATCAAGTTAACTTTATCAAAATAATTAATTGTTTATTAGATGTATTCACCCTATTTCGTTTAAGGTGATGAAGGACTGGTAGAAGAAGAATTATCCCACAATAATATGAGTTGAGCTGAAGTTTCCATGGAATTTCCCATAGCCCTGCTTTCCCAAAAGTTGTTCTCATCCAGGCACAAGTGGACTGTAGTTTCAACCTCGCATCGGTCTTATCAACACCCTCAGCGGGAGTCGAACCACGACAGTGCAGGATGGGAGCTTGACACGCCCTTTTGTCACAGGGCAAACGTGCATTTCAAGGAAGGCCACCCCTTTTGTCATATCATATTCTTTTGGTGGAATTGTCGATGAAGCAAACGTATATCTACTATAACAATCGACTACTATACTTTATTTTTCAAATTAAGTATTGTTTTCATGACTACCAATAAATCAGTAATATGAGATGTATTCACCCAATTTCGTTTAAGGTGATAGGGGACGTGTAGAAGAAGAATTTTCCTAAAATAATATGAGTTGAGCTGACGTTTCCGTTGAATTTAATATAGCCTTGCTTTCCCAAAAGTAGTTCTCATCCAAGGTCGACTCCTGCTGATGGTGTTGATAAGACCGATGTGAGGTCGAAACTGCAGTCCACCCTGGATGAGAACAAATTTTGGGAAAGCAAGGCTATGTGAAAATTTAATGGAAACGTCAAATCAACTCATATCATTGTTGGAAAATTCTTCTTCTACCAGTCCTTAATCACCTTAAACGAAATTGGGTGAATACATCTCATATTACTGATTTACTGATAGTCACGAGAACAATAGTTAATTCGAAAAATAGAGTAATAGTTTGACACAAAGTAGACAAGAGTAAATCCATTCTTAGCGTGAAAATTCTCAAATTAGCTTAATCAGGGCGGTTCAACAATAACTAATTTTTGCGGTTTTTTGTCTGGCTACATGACTTAAGATCACAGATACGCATATGCTAAGAAAGCTTGGGTTTAGAAGACTCTTTTAGTTTGTTATTTCTGACCCTATTTCAATTT